ATATAAAACTAGGCAGCAGAGTGGCAGTTTTCTCCCTGTGCAGGAGTGTGTTTTCTCCAGGTACTTTAGTTTCCTCTCACAGACCAAAATCATATTTATTAAAACTAAYATGTCCAAACAGCAAAAAATGAWTAATTTGTGATATTTCCAGATAGTTCTTTTCTTGTTTCTGGTCTCTGGACGTCACAGARTCACTGATTGTATCTGTAAAATAACAAACTGAACAACTGTTGGCAAATCCTGAACTCTTCTATTACTTCAAGTTGTCATTTTACATCATAAAGTTTCTGTTATGGATCTTCATTTTTATTCTTTTACGCGTGTTGAAAACGCTGAAACAAACAATATCTTACTTGCTGTAGATGACACATATTTTATGGTATTCTGTTTTTTCAGATTAAATCCTGTTTTTCTCCTCCCCCCTGAGCTTTTCTGACTCAACAGTGCAGACCCGTCTGAGGTTTCGGCTCAGCAGAACCTGAGCTCTCCTGTTTGTGTTTTTTAGCTCAAAACGTGGGAGTTTATTTCGGCTCCTAACAATGAGAGCTCACACAACACAACAGGTGGGTTTGTTCAGGTGAAACCAACACCTGGTGAGGCTCCGAGGAGCTGCAGGGAACCCAGAGAGCAGAAAACTGCTTCACTGCCTCTGGTTTCACCTCCTTCAGCTGCTTTTAGCTTTTAGTCACCCTTTAGCTACTGTTCTGCTTTTTTAGCTTCAGTTTTACTATTAGTCTGGTTTGCTTTTAGCGTATGTTTTACTTTTTTAAGCCTTTTTAATTTTAGCTAATGTTTGTGCTGCTTTTGGTTACTGTTTTGTTTTTGTAGCTACTGTTCTGCTTTGTTTACCATTTCTTTTCATAATTTTAGCCAATTTTGCTAATTTTAGTTATTATTGTTTTGGTTTTAGCTATTGTTTTGTTAATTCTAGCATCTCTTTTGCTAATTTTAGTTATTGTCTTGTTTTTTCAGCAGCTGTTCTGATTATTTTAGCTCCACTTTGATTGATTTTAGTGCCCGTTTTGCTTATTGTAGCTTTAGCATATGCTTGACTATTTTTAGCCTCTTTTTTCAAAAATTTTAGCTATTGTTGTGCTGCTTGTAATTGCTGATTTGCTAAATTTAGTTACTTTTCTATTCCTTTTAGCTTTTAGCTACTGTCCTGTTGTTTTTAGTTACAGTTTTGCTAATTTTTGCACCTGGTTTGCTTATTTTAGTTACTTTTATATTCCTTTTAGCTTGTAGTTGTGTTTAGCTAGTGTTGCTCATTTTATTTGCTGTTTATTTCTTTTAGCTACTTCTGACTCTTTTCTCATTAGTTTTCAATTTTTACCTACTTTGTTTTTTTTAGCATTAGAATGTTTTACTTTAGCCTTTTGAGAATTTTAGCTATTGTTGTGCTTATAATTGCAGTTTTCCCTCATTTTAGTTATTCTTTTTAGCTTTTAAATACTGTTCTGCTTTTTTRTGTGTGAGTTTCACCAATTTCAGCATCAGTTTTACTCATTTCAACTTTAGCATTGCATTCAAATTTTGGTTACTGTTGTGTTGCTTTTAGTTTCTGTTTTGTTCACTTTATAGCTTTGATTCACACTTGTGTATGTTTGCTAGTTTTGGCTGTTGTGCTGCTTTTAGCTGCTATTTTTATGTTTTAATCTTAAGTTTTAACTTCTTCAGGCAGTCATTCAGCTCTCAGTAGAGCATTGTGTGTACTTTATGTAGAAATGAGTACATTTCACAGACTGATTCAGTTTTTTCCTCCTAAAACAGCTCAGAGCTTGATGCCATCATGGAGTCAGGAACATGTAGGAACTCCCACATGGAAACAAAACATTCCACCAGAGCGGCTCATCTTTTACCCATAATGCTCCTCTGCTAAAATAAATAATCCACATGTTGTCAAAAATTAATCAGAACAGCTAAAATTAGCAGCTGATGTCAGATGTTAAAAAACGACAAAAGTAACAAAAAGTTGGATTTTTTAAATTTATTTTAGTCTTAAAGTTTCACCAGGACCTGTCCAGTGACTTGTGAGATATTTTGCTAACAGACACAGTTGAGAAGCTCTCATCAGGACCAGAGCCAGGAAGGTTTCTGATGTTCTGATCCAGTCTCTGAAGATGGAACAAAAACTGATTCATTGATGCTGAGCAGAGAAACAAGAGATGCATCGTCATCATTCCCCTCCGCAGTGCATCATCATCATCAGCAGCAGCAGCAGCAGCAGCAGATGATGATGATGATGATGTTGCCGGGTACGCAACAAACAGGAAGTTTTCTGTAGACAGAACGCTGCGCGTCGCGTCGCGCCGCGTCGTGCCGCGCCGCGTCGCCGCGCCTGCCGCGTCGCCTGGCGTCGCCCTGCGCGCCGCCGCGTCTCGTCTCGCCTCTGCGCCTGAGCGCCACTCAGCTTCAGGAAATTCAAACAAGTTGCCGACCACTCCGCGGGCACACACGCATCTTCCCGCTCCAAGGTCACCGAGCCGCTGCGGGACGCACGTGGACCTCCAGATCCCCCCCAAAGGTAACCGTCAAAGGTGAGAGAAGCGACGTCGCTGCCGAGATGATCCGTGGTTTTCTTTTCTCTCCGTCTGAGCTGACATGAGTGAAAGATCTGCGGCGAATCAGGAGCGGAGCCACCGGTCGGACCGGTACCGGTACTCGGTGTCCTTAGAAACGGCTGACATTTTATGATGCGTTCAGGAACTTTTAGAAAAAGGTGGAAATACGAATGTCGGCCCAGAATGAGCGGCAGGAACTGAACAGATAAAAGCGCGTGGGTTAAATTCTCTGCTGTGAGCTCGTGCAGGCCCGGGGGAATTAAGACCGGCTTCATCCGGTCCGTGTCCTGACATCAGCAGCATCATATGATGAAGCTGCAGGCCTGTTTATCATCTTCATCAAGAACACTTTGATCCGAATGAGTTTCTGAAGAGCTGCATGTTTTAAACTCACCTCATCCTGAAGGAGTCTGTTCCTGTCAGCTTCTGTCAGTTTGCTGACTCACTGGGGGAGTCTATCTGTCAGAGACTGTCTTCTGTGAAATTACTCTGATAACTCTGTCCCTTCTCAAGCTCAAACTGTTCATTAAGCTGACAGATGCAGATGAAGTAAAAGTAGCAAAAAACTAATTAGATGCTAAAAGTAGCAAAAGGCTATGCTAAAAGTAGCAAAAGGCTTGCTAAAAGGAAAATGTTAGGTAGATGTAGCAAAAGGCTAGTTAGATGCTAAAAGTAGCAAAAGGCTAGTTAGATGCTAGTAGTAAAGTCCTGCTAAAAATAGCAAAATGCTACTTAGATGCTAAAAGTAGCAAAATGACAGTTAAATGCTAAAAGTAGCAAAAGGCTTGCTWAAAGGAAAAGGTTATAGGWAAAAATAGCAAAAGGCTAGTTAGATGCTAAAAGTAGCCAAATGCTAGTTACACCTACCTCCATAGTCAGGTTGCAGAGGCAACGGGTTCAGGAGGGAGACCGCCCTCTCCTCAGCTACACTTTCCAGCTCGTCCTGGGGGTCTCCGAGGCATTCCCAGACCAGAGAGTTAGAGTAGCAAAAGGCTAGTTTAAAGTAGCTAAAGGCTAGTTGGATGCTAAAAATAGCAGAAGCCTTGCTAAAAGTAACAAAAGTTTAGGTAAAAGTAGTGAAAGTYTAATTAGAACTAAAAGTAGCAAATGGTTTGATAAAAATAGCTAAAGCTTAGTTAAATGCGAGTAAAGTATTAAGCAAGTATTAAGCTGCTAGCAAAATGCTAGTTAGATGCTAAAAGTAGCAAAAAGCTAGTTAGATGCTAGTAGTAAAGGCCTGCTAAAAATAG